ACACGTAATGTGCCACGTACTTTACCACGGATTGATAATGTCTGCTGCTGTTGCTGCTGCTGCTGCTGCTGCTGCTGCTGCTGTTGCTGCTGCTCGGTCTTCCCATTGCTTGTGTTGCTGCTTATGCTGCTGCTGCTGCTGTTGCTGCGGGTGCTACGTGTAACACGGCGAGATACTGCAGAGACAGTGCTCTCCGCTGCATTTGTTGCAGCAGCAGGTGTCTCTGTCTCTGCAGCAGCAGCAGCTGCTGCTGCTGCTGTTGCTGCTGATGCAGTTGCTGACATAGTAGCAGTTGCCGCTGCATTCCCATTAGCTGTTGCTGCATTAGCTTCAGCAGCAGCAGCAGCTGCTGCTGCTGCTGCTGCTGCAGCTGCAGCAGCATTTCCATGTGGTCCAACATAAGTACCTGCAGCTGTAGCAGCAGCAGCAGCAGCAGCAATAGCAGCAGGAGAACATAATGGTTGTATAATATGTATAACTCTATTAGTTATTGCCTCTCTTACTAATGCAGCAAATAAATCACGAGGCTTTTGCTGCCTTTGCTGCAGCGGTTTATATAAACGCAGCAAACGCCAGACAGACTGCAGCAGCAAACGACGACCACGCAGCAGCAAACATAAATCTATTACTTCATTGCTGCTGCTGCTGCTGCTGCTGCTGGTGATGGTGTTGCTGCTGTTGCTGTTGCTGTTGCTGCTGTTGGTGGTGGTCGGGATGGTGGTCTTGTTGTTGTTGTTGTTGCTGCTGCTGCTGTTGCTGCTGTTGTTGCTGTTGCTGCTCAGGTTGCTGTCTGACGGGCGGGAATCAAAGTTTGTTGCTGTTGTGCAGCTGCTGCTGCATGCATGACTGTTGCTGTTGCTGCTGCTGCTGCCGTTATTGCTGTTATTGCTGCTGCTGCTGCTGCTACCATTGCTGCTGCTGCTGCATTCCCATATACCATGACCTCCAGAATCCCAACCAGTCTCTTCCTGCTGCTGCTGCTGCTGCTGCTGCTCTTCCTCGTCCTCTACATCCTCTTCCTCTCCCCCTTCTCCTCCGTCCCTCTGCTTCTGTTGTTGCTGCTGCTGCTGCATTGGTGCTGCTGCATGCAGATCACAGATGAATGCATGCTGCTGCAGCAGATCAGCAACCCCACCAGGCCCGCATAGTACAACATGCAGACAATCGATGATTGTTACCTTCGATGCTCGCTGCAGCAAATTTTGCTGCAGTCGTGGCCAGAGAGCAGCAAGATTAAATATTTGCTGCTCCTGGGACAGCAGCAGGTGTACCCTCTCCGTGTAGCTGTTGCTGTTGCTGCTGCTGTTGCTGCTGCTGTTGCTGTTGCTGGTTGTTGTGGTGGTGTTGTTGTTGTTGCCCACTTGCTGCTGTTGTTGTTGCTGCTGCTGCTGCTGTTGCTGTTGATGTAAACGACGCAGCAAACGAGCTTCGCATGCACGCAACTTCAGCTGACGCATATGCTGCTGCTGTTGCTGCTGCTGCTGCTGCAGTGAACTAGGGGGACCGCTGCATGATGTGCTGCTGCCGCAGCTACAGGTAACCGTCACTGTTACTGTATCTTCATCATCGTCATCTGCTGCTGCTGCTGCTGGTCCTGCTGCTGCTCGTGCTGCAGCAGCAGCTGCTGCTGCATGTGAATCGCAACACGCCCGCAACCAGCATCTTTTTGCGTCCCGCTGTCCCTGCTGCTGTTGAGGGTCTGCTGCTGCTGCAGCTGCAGCAGCTGCTGCTGCAGCTGCACACTCTGCTGCTGCAGTAAAATCAATGCGCTGATGGGGCTGCTGCAGCTGCTGCTTGTCCCCACACTTCAACAGCTGCAGCAGCTGCTGCTGCGCCTCAGGAGGTGCAGCAGCAAGATCCTGCAGCAGCCATTCCTTGCATTTGCTGCAGTAGTAGCTTTCCGATTGCGTTAACATAAAGCTGCAGATACACCCCAACAGCAGCAGCAGCAACAACAGCAATGCATTCGTTGCGGGCAACAGAAACAGCAAGGAAAACAATTCAGCAGCAAACATAAAATAGCAGCAGCAGCAGCAAACAGAACTGCAACAGCAGCAGCAAAAACAGCAGCAGCAAAAACAGCAGCAGCAACAGAACGTACTGCTGCAGGTCATCAAAGAAGCGGCCAGTTGGCTGGTGTTGCTGCTGTTGCAAGTGCTGCTGCTGCTGCACTAGCTGCGGCTGCTGTTGCTGCTGCTGCAGCTCTCCAAGCTGCTGCTGCTCCCCCATTATTTGTCCGTGCCATCTTTGTGCTGCAGCCTGCTGCATCATGAGCACGGGTTGCTGCTGCTGCTGTTGCTGCTGCAGTGCAGCAGCAGTTTGCTGCTGCTGTCGAGCAGCAGCAGAGGCATCACCAGCTTGCGATGTAGACAGCAGCCGCCATTGTATTACACGCGCCGTCCTCCTGCTGTTGCTGCTGCTGTTGCTGCTGCTGCTGCTGCTGGAGGCCTTGCAGTCTGCCGTTTGTTGCTGCACGCCCTTATCAGCCACCGGACATTCTGCTGCTGTTGCTGCTGTTGCTGTTGCTGCTGCTGTTGCTGCTGTTGCTGCTGTTATTGGAGTAGACTCGAGAGCAGCAACATGCGGCTCTCCTAAGCAGCAGAGCATCAACATTAGTCTCCTAAAGGCAGCAGGATCGATGCCGTGCTGCTGCTGCTGCAGCTGCTGCTGTGGGTGCTGCAGCTGCTCCCTATATCCAGCAACTGCTGCTGCTAGAGCCTCAACAGCTCGCTTGTGGACATGCGCGTACACCTGAATTCAACAGCAGCAACAGCAGCAGCAGCAGCAAACACTGCAGTAGTACCCCGTTTAAAATGCCACAACAGCAGCAGCAACAGCAGGAGCAGCAGCAGCCTCACTCCCTACAGCAGCAGCAGCAGCAGCAACAGCAGCATCAAAACTATCTACAGCAGCAGAACCCCACCACCACCCCCATCACCAGCAGCAGCAGCAGCAGCAGCAGCAGCAGCAGCAGCACTAGCAGCAAAAAAAAAACGTACACAAGATTGGAAGACAGTAAGAGAACATAATAATAATGTAGGTGTATCCCCAATTTCTTTTTTTCTTGTAGTAAAAAAACGATCTAAATAAATAAATCCTTTTATTAACCAATACACCAGGTGTCCATACACCTCCCAGCAGCGCAGCAGATGCTGCAGCAGCAAATTGCCACAATTATAACAACCACAAAAATATGTCTCCTCACGTAATAATAATATTGCCAATTGCTGCTGCTGCTGCTGCTGCTGATGCTGCTGATGCTGCTGATGCTGCTGATGCTGCTGATGCTGTTGCTGCTGGTGCTGCGGATTCTGTTGCTGCTGCTGGGGATTCTGCTGCTGCTGGGGGTTCGGCTGCTGCTGCTGCTGCTGTTGCTGCTGCTGGGGATGTTGGGTTGGGGGATAAGGCAGGATACGGTAACAATGAGGGGGTAACAAAGGAAGCAGAGGGTGCATCTGCGGTTGCTGCTGCTGCTGCTGTTGTTGTTGCTGTTGTTGCTGCTGCTGCTGTTGCTGTTGCTGCAGCAACAACTGTTGTTGTTGCTGCTGCTGTTGCTGCTGCTGCTGCTGCTGCTTTCCTGTACACCGTAGACAAGTGTTACGGGTTCTTTGCGTATCTGCACCAGCAGTGGTGTTGCTGTCATTGCTGCAGCAGCAGCAACTGCTGCTGCTGCTGCTGCTGCTGTTTTTACTGCTTCCTCTGAAAATTACCTTCCCGTCTCCGCAGTTGCATGCATCTTCTGCTGCAGCTGCTTCTGCTGCAGCCCCTCCTCCAGGAGCAGCAGCAACAGTATTAGCAGCAGCAGCAGCTGCTGCAGCAGATGTTGCATTACCAGCCCCCGTTGCTGCTGTATTACATTGTGTCTTTGCGGGTATTAATACCCCATGCTGCTGTTGTTGCTGTTGTTGCTGCTGCTGTTGCTGCTGCTGATGCTGCAGTAGCTGCTGGTGCTGCTGCTGCAGTATAATTCTTAACTGTTTTGCTGCCCATTCAGCAAGAGATATACGAAAGAGACAATACACCTGCAGTGCTGTCTCCTCTGTTTGTGTTAGCTGCTGCACTAACGAGTAGGCAGCAGCAAAACTGTCTCTTTTTGGCAGCAGCAGCGGATCTAGTGTCTCCACATACAGCAGCACAGGGCGTACCCATAGACGTTGCAGCAAGCTTATAGCCTCTACTGCAGCAAGACTACGAGGTACTGCAGCAGCAGCTGCTGCTGCAGCTGCTGCTGCAGCAGCTGCTGCTGCTGATGATGATGTTGATGATGATGGTGGGGGGGGAGCAGGCAAGCATGCAACGACAGAACTGCAGCTGCTGTTGTTGCTGCTGCTGCTGTTGCTGCTGCTGCTGCTGACGTTGCTACTCGAGGAGCCCGCAACTGCCATCGTCGTGCTGCTGCTGCTGCTGCTACTCGTGCTGCTGCTGCTGCTATTGCTGGATATTAAATCACTGCTGCTGCTGCTGCTGCTGTTGCTGCTGCTGCCTGGGCCTTTGCTTGGTGGCGGCCGCTGCTTTCGAATGCACGACTGCAGCGCAGCAGCAGCAGCAACAGCTGCAGCACGCCGAGTCCTGCTGCCCCCGCTGCTGCTGCTGCTGCTGACGGGATCTGCTGAATCCTCCACTGCGGGCAGCTCGACAGCAGCAGAAGCTGGCGCAGCAGCACTGGCTGCTGCTGCTGCTGTTGCTGCTGCCACAGGCTCCCTTAAAGCTTCTGTTGGAACCCCTCCTGTGGGGCCCTCGGCAGCGGCTGCTGCTGCTGCTGCAGATGCAGCAGCAAATGCAGCCTCGATGCCACCGGCAGCAGCACTAACCACAGAGTTGTCTTCTTGCTGCTGCTCCAGTTGCTGCTGCTGCTGCTGCTGCTGCCTTCTTGACCTCTTAGAATGACTTGTGCGAGTAGCAGCAGCTGCTGCTGCCACTCGCTTCCTGCCTACAGGAGCAGCAGGAGCTGCTGCTGCTGCTGCTGCTGGGCGGCCTAGCGCCGCCCTTGCTGCTGCAGTTATCTCATTCCCTTCTGCTGCTGCTGCTGCTTCCTCAGCGTCCGCTGCTTCAGATGCTGATGGTGCTGCAGCAGCTGCTGCTGCTGCTGTTCCCTCTGCTGCCTCCGCCGCGCCACGACAGCGAGCGGCGACTGCCCTTAAATCCCATCTGCTGCTGCTGCTATTGCTGCTGTTGCTGCCACCTTGAGCAGCAGCAGCAGCAGGAGCATCAGAGGTAGCTTCTGCTGCTATCTCATGGCCTCGCAGCTGCTGCGTGGCGTTGCATCTCCTCGTTGCGGCAGCAGAAACAGCAGCAGCGGGTGCTGGTCCTGCTGCAGCAGGAGCTGCTACATATGCTGCAGCAGAGGACGGCTGCTGCTGCAGCTGCAGCTGCTGCAGCTGCTGCTTTGCTGCCTGCGCATCTGAAAGAGAAGAAGCAGCCGGATGCTCCGTACCCGAGAAAAGGCCGCAGGATACAGCCTCTGTGGGGTCGATTTGCTGCTGCTGCTGCTGCTGCTGCTGTTGCTGCTGCTGCTGCTGTTGCTGCAAATGTTGCTGGCGTGTTCGTGGTGTCCTGCTGCAGTGCTGGTATGTAACTGCTGCAGCTCGTGCTGTCCCCGCTAGTGTCGCTTCTGCTGCTGCCGCTGCTGCTGTTGTAGCCGTTGTTGCTGCTGCTGACCCCACGGCAGTGTGGCGGGAGGCCTTAGCCACAAGTGACTCCCTAGCCTGCGGCGGTGGTGGTGCAGCTGCTGCTGCTGCACTGCTGCAGCTGCGGAGAGGACGACGGCGCCTTGGGGTGGTCCTGGCAGCAGCACGCGGAGACATATCCGCTGCTGCCGCTCCAGTAGACCCAACAGAAACAGCAGGTGCTGCTGCTGCTGCTGCCGATGCTGCTGCTGATGCAGTATCTCTACGCTTGTTGCTAGAGGCTCTGGTTACTACTTGTAGTTCTGCTGCTGCTGCTGCTGCTGCCGGCTGTTGTTTTGTTTCAGCACACGAGCTGCCACTAACGCCGCCACCCCCGTCCATATCGCTGCTGCTGCCGCCGCTGCTGCTGCTGTTGCTGTTGCTACTTTTGCTGCTACTGGTGTTCCTGCTGCCGCTACGGCCCTCCCCAGTGCAACGGCTTCTGCCACTGCTGCTGGTGCTGCTGCTGCAGGCTTTGCTGCTGCATGCGGGAGTCCTTATAAGACTGCTACAGCTGATGCTACTAACGTGTCAAGTGCTGCAGCACTTGCTGCAGCAACTGCTGCAGCAAGTGCTGCTGCTATGTTGTTGATGCTGCTGCTTTTGCAGGCAGCAACTACAGAAAAACAAACAAAATGGTGCTTCAGCTCGCCCTTTTGCTGCTTTCACTGGTCTGGCTGCTGCCTACTGCAACAGGTTACGCTCCTGCTGCTGCTGCTGCTGCAGCTGCTGTCGACAGATCGTTGCTTGACAGGCTGCGGGCATTAGAACCTCGCAAGAATGCTTCTGCAGCTGCTGCTGCAATGGCGCAGCAACAACGGCTGCACCGCAGCCGTTGTTGTTGCAGCTTACACCAGTTCTGCCGTAGCGGCTGCAGCTGCTCCTGCTGTTGCTGCTGCTGCTGCTAGCGGCAAACACTGGAGATTTTTGCTTCTCCATGAAAAGCTTGAAAAGAGAAAAGCAGCAGTCTGCTTCAACGAGTTGACTTCTGTAACGCTGCTGCTGCTGCTGCTGCCGGGCTGGCTGCCTGCAGCTGCTGCTGATACTGCAGCAGCAGCAGCAGCAGAATGTAATGTTTATCTACACAACTATAGTTTTTCCTGTATGTTTTGGGCTGAAATAAAGGTAAATATATGGGAACTTCAAAACCCTAAACCCTAAACCCTAAACCTTAAACCCGAAACCCTTGGTTATCTCCGCCGAAACCCCCCTTGGGGCTGTTCTGTTTCCGACGACTGCGTGTAAATTTGTAGTTAGGGTTTAGGGTTTAGGGTTTATGGTTTAGGGTGTATCATTAGGAGTTTTGTAAAGGGATTTCCTTAACAAAATTCTGTAAGAATCTTCTTTTCTTCCTTATCTTCCTACTTAGTTGTGATAGAAGACAGCGGCACCAGAACAAGAAAAAAAGAATTGTTCGCCTAATAACTTCCTAATAAAGAACAGACTTTGCAGCTGCACCAAAGAAACACACGAAAGCAGCAGTAGAAGCAGCAGCAGCTGGAGATTTCAATCCATTATTACGAGTGTTCCTCTAGGAAGGAAGGCACTGTGCTGCACCTGCATGCAGCAGATTCTTCCTCTACAAGGGATATATTACCTATCAATTTATTCCTTCTTAGTGTCCGCTTACTAAGGCGCAATTAAGGAGTTGAGTTGGTGCACATATCTGATAAAAAGGCATGCCATGCATCGTAATGGGGCTCTGATTTAGTGCAGTGAGGGGACTGCTGCTGCCTTGCGGCTAAGAGGGGAATGCTGCAAACTTGCTGCAGGAATCCCTGCTAGCTGATTTGATGCTCTTTGCATGCAGCAACTCCACCAGGTATAGGAAATGCAGCAATTGACACTGCTGTCCTCCCGAGTAAGTTAAGAGACAGGAGAACAACTAATCAGGAGGGGAACGGGAGAAATACTAAAAGGAGACAGTAAACAGACGCAAGGGGACAGGAACGCTGTGTCCTTGCACGGTGGCACATGTGTGTTCTTGGGGATTAACATCCAAAAAATTTTGCATTAAGAAAAGGCACAGAAAACAGATAGACCCTTACTACGCGCTCACCACCGTAGTCCATGGTAGAGGCTGGAAGATGTATTAATACTTATAGTTCCCTTGTTCTCCCTTTAGGTAGGCCCAAACCTTCACCACTCTTGCTGCAGATGCTGAGATTTAAAGGAATACCAACTACAAGTCCTACTTTTGCCTGATGTGCTGCACGGAAGTAGACCACCGTTTCAGTACCATCGGGGAGGCGCTAGTCAGCATACCCGCATTGGCAAGAGTCTTAGATGTTAGTAGCAAACCGTCACCAGCAAGACATATGCAAAGTAGAAAAGCGGAGCCAGATCCCACAACAAGAAATAAAGAGTTATTGTCTGCTCTGGAGCGGAGATAGCGTGAGAGGGGGGATAGACTGTCATGGACAAGCAGTTAGCTCCGGAGAGCAACTAAAAATAAATATATGTAAAAATAAAGCAATTATATATATGGATGTATAACCATCTGTTCCCCATTGGACACGTCACAAAGAAGCATTCAGCAGGGCGTTATGGGTCTCCCGACCCCATGTACAGGCTGCCGCTGTGGTTTTGCTTGCTAATATACGTTGCTTCGTGATAGTGGTTATCAAACACTACGCAGGCTGCAAGAAAACTCTCCAATTAAAGAAATATTCTCGCTTTCCGTGAGTTCTGCACCCTTTTTGTGGGGATATCCCAATCTCCTCAAGTTACGCGCCCCCTCAAGAACTTGGCTGCCCACTTCTCGAGTGTATTCGAGCCAGTTGCCGGCATTATTCCCAGTAACGTACTACTGAATCGTTACTGGTGAAATCGGGGCATGTAGATCAACATCCGAGTAGATTAGCGATGTAGCCCTGCATGCTGACACGAGGTCGAACAGCTAACATCCACAGACCATGAATGAACAACTTCTTCGGTTGCGCTCCCTTGTGCATGCTTTGCACAGTTTGGATATCTATCTACCCGAATCAAATCGTCTGCGATGCAAATAACCACTGGACACCCACTGTCGTAGTTCCTTCCAAGGGGCTCGTCTGGGCACTTCATGTATGTCGGATCTACGTCAGGCTACATATGGAAGAATGCGGCTGCAGGGTTATACGGGTACTCGTCACCAAGAAAAAAACTGTGTTCTTTGCTATGAAATCAGAGAGACGGAGTGCAACAGATAGTACCATCAGGCTTCCGCTTTAAAGAGGCGGGCATTAATAACCCTCCTCCCCTCTGTCTTTGTCGATGAAGCCTGTTGTCCTAGTAAGGAGAACGAGAGTATTTATTTGCAATTTGTCGAGGAAATGTTTGCTTTTCAGCAGCCTGAATTATTTAGTTCAAAGGTCAAGTAAAAGCAAGTGGTCTTCTTGGTCTCTCTTGACGGCTGAAGGGGCAGTGCAGGAAGGCCTGGGGATTGTGAAGAGAGAAAGCGGCAACAATCGCAAAAGCCTCTACTTGTGCTGCAGTAATAGCACAGAAGATGTCTCCGCTGCTGTGCATGCAGCAAAATATAGGCGCATACCGGGATTTTCAAGCCCCCCTGTGACGCGTGCTTTTAACTCTCTTAGGGCCGGCTGCAACACACCCAGTTGATAACAGATTGTCTGCCTCTCTTTAGGACCATCTGGCCTCCTTTTCTTTTGGCCTTTATTAACATAAAACAATAAGAAGGTGAACATGCAAAAACACCAGAGGTAATGGCCTTAATGTGTATGGTCTGCTACAACCAGGGAGAGGACAGAAGGGAAAAAGCTAAGTGATGCATGCGTCTAGTGTGTACTTCTTGCCGCAGAGAGTGTCAATAATTGAAAAAAGTGTTCTTAATTAACAAAATTGTCATTTTTCTTTAACAAAAGACAAAAAAGGGGGGAAATATGGGCTATGAGGTCCGTCGGCGGTCTGGGGCTGCGTCGGGGCTGCGCTGCTGCAGCAGTTGCTGCAGTAGCAGCAGCTGCTGCAGCTGTTGCAACTGCTTGAAGCACGGTTGCTGCTGCTGCTGCTGATGGTCATCTTCTGTCTTTGCTTAGGATCGGGCTGTGTTAAGGGGTCACCCTAAGTACATTTCTTTCCCCTGGCGAGCGCAGACACACTTCCCCACAGCCCCTAAACCCTAAACCCCAACCCCTAAACCCTCTGAGCCAACGCTGCAAGCTCCTCCAGCAAATGCAGCGATTTTCTCGTAATTAATTTTGAAGAAATTAATTTATTAACAACCCGTAAACCCTAACCCCTAAACCCTCACAGTTGTTGGCTCTCCTCGCAGACGACGGCCGTTGCTGCATGCGATTAGGGCTGGGGGGTAGGGTTTAGGGTTAAGGGTTTGAGGGTTTAGGTCGTGCCATTAACCACTAGATCAGGAAGCTGAAGAAACTGCCAAGATGGTGAAGGTTACAAAGGAGGACCTTCAGAAGTTGGAGGTCAAGGGTGCGCAAGTTTTTAGGGCTTAGGGTTTAAGGTTTAGGGTTTGGGGTTTGTGTCGGTTGTTTGTTTGCATTTATTCGCTGTTCGTGGGCATATTGGGGCATATAAGCCCTCTACGTGGGGCATTTTTTCGGGAGATTTGCTTGAAGGGTTTACCGAAGGCTTAGGCATTAGGGTTTAGGGTTTTGTTTGTATATTTTGCAGAAGAAGAGCAGGAGGAGTTGCTAAAATACATTTCAGATGACAGCGATGAAGATGAGGAATCCCTCACCAAGAAATTGGAGGCCTTTGAGCCTCTCCTTCAGATGGACGATCGATTCCCCAATACCGTCATCATGGTTGGCGTCCCGCTGGTGCGTCTTTTGAGGGTTTAGGGTTTAGGGTTTAGGGTTTGGGGTTCAAAGAGGTTGCTTACCAATGCATCTGTGTTGAGTAGCCTCCGCCAAGGTTTGCGCTGTCTGCACATTGGTGCTGTAGGATTTAGGATTTAGGGTTTAGGGTTTTAGGGTTTACGAACTCGGGCTTAGGTCTGATGACTTAGGACATTGATAGATTTAGGGTTTATTACTTCAGGTTCACGATTGTACACTTTATTCTTTATTATCCCTTATTATTCTTCATTAGTGTTTATATTCGTTTTGTTTTAGTGTTTTCTAGGGTTTTCTAGGGTTTACTAGGGTTTACTAGGGTTTAGGGTTTATGTGTATCAGGTTGGGGCGGATCGTTTGGAGAAGTTAACAGCGGTGTTAAGGAAGAAGATAGCGGATGAATTATCTCGTAAAGGAGGGGAAGATTTAGAGGCTGCATTTAATATAGAGGTTCCTATGGATAGCGAGGGTTTATTGACTCGTGGTTGTTGTTTCTTAACTTTCCCTAGTGTATACGCAGCTGCGCATGCAGCACGAGCACTCAATGGTTATAAGATTGATAAGCGCCACACATTTAGAGCAGCAATGTTGGATGAGTTCGATGAGATCGTTGCTAGAGATAAAGATTATAAACCCTCCATTACACTCAGAGGTTAGTCATAAACCCTAAACCCTCATACACCATAAACCCTAGACATACGTGAACTGCGTGGAGGTCACTATATGTTGCTGTCCTGCGGTGTATCGGGGTTTGGGCTTTTTTTAGGGTTTTCTTAGGGTTTCTTGGGTTGTTTTGGCTTTTTTAGGGTTTAGGGTTTGTATGAGGGTTTAGCAGTTTGTTGTGTTGCTGGTGTTTAGGGTTTACACGTGAAGACGTCCGTTGGTGGTTAAGCGATCCTCGTTTCCGTGAGCAGTTTGTTTTACGTCATGCATTAGAGACAGAGGTTTATTGGTTAGATCCAATGGAGGGAAACCCTTGTACTCTTTGTTATGATGGACAAAAAGAGAAACAAGATGGCAAAGCTATCTGGACAGAGCTCAGGGTCCAGTGGTCACCTCAAGGATCTTATCTTGCTACCTTCCACAGACAAGGTAAACTAGGGTTTAGGGTTTGGGGAGTTTTAAGGGTTTAAAGAGGGTTTATGGAGGAGACGGGCAGAGGAAGTTCTACGGAAAGGGATACAGCGGTTGCAAACACCGTCGTCGTCCACAGGGGCGGTTTAGAGGGTTTAGGGTTTGGAGGGTCCAGGGTTTAGAGGATATTAGGGTTTAGAGACTACTAGGGTTTGGCGTGGTTTGGGGTGCGACTGTAGGTATTGCTCTTTGGGCCGGACGTAACTTCGATAAAAAGGCGAGACTTGAACATAAGGAAGTGAAGCAGGTGCGTGCGAGGGTTTAGGGTTTAGGGTTTGGCAGCAGCGGCAAGAACTGTAGAGTGACCTTACCGATTGAGGTTTTGACACTAGGGTTTGGAGTTTTGGATTTGCAGCGGCCACTTCTGGGATTTCTAGCGGGACTTACGGGTTTGCGGTTTAGAAATTAGGGTTTAGGGTTTTCAGGGTTTAGGGTTTATGATTTTTGTTACAGATAATGTTCTCACCCAAGGAGACCTACATGCTGTCTTGGGACGGAACCCCTGCATCGATGAGGAACGAGAAGGCGGTGAAGACATGGAACGTGATGACAGGTTCGTATTTGTTTCCCGTTTTTTTTCTAGGGTTTAGAGTTTAGGGTTTAGAAATTAGGGTTTAGGGTTTCGGGTTTTTTGGATGTATGTGCAGGTGAAATGTTGCGGCAATTCCCCACGCCCGCGGCAACACCTAGAGGGACAGAATTCCCTCACTTTTTATTTTCTCATGATGAAAAGTATTTAGCTAAAATAGGAGACAAAGAATTATGTGTTTATGCCATGGACCCCAAGGATAACTTCCCTGATCAAGTAGCAGATGAGGTAGGGTTTAGGGTTTACCGTCTGTTATCTGGTGTTTAGGGTTTAGATTTTATGGTCAAGGGTTGATTGGTTTACAGCTTATCATGCCTCGTTATGTCGCTTCCCATGCCACCCCATCGTCCCGAGGTTCTAGGGTTTAGGGTTTAGGGTCTGGGGTTTGCGTTTCAGGATGTAACCCCTGTGAAGTTGTTGCGTGACGAGAAGGGACACTTCTCTGCCTTGAAGTACCCTGTAGAGAAATTTGAATGGTCACCAGGAGACAACATTGTCTCTCTTTGGATTAGAGGATCAGATGATACACCAGGTATAAACCCTAAACCCTAATATCTAAACCCTTTTAGTGTTGGATATGAGGATTGTGTTCTTTCGGCGCGGGAGGGGAGAGAGTTGACAGTTGAAGGGTTTATTTAGGGTTTAGGAGTTAGGGTTTGGGACACCTCCCCCAGGGGCCTCCGGCCTTCTCTCCGTGATGCATCATCTAAAGCCTCGAAACCGTCGTTGCATGCAACTAGGGTTTAGGGTTTAGGGTTTATAAACGGAGATGGCTAGGGGTTGAGGGAGAAAAAGGGGGCAGATGTGTCGGGCGTGTCGCCTTTTTATCGTCGCCTCCGATGAACTGTCTCTACAGAATGTCATTTAGGGTCTAGGGTTTAGGTTTTGTGGTTTCATGCCTCCTCCATGGCGTTAGCCCGTCTCCCGACATAGACCCTAAACCCTAAGGGTTTAGGATCTAGGAACGGAGATGCTGAGGGGTTGAGGCAGAAGGAAGGGGCAGATGTGTCGGGCGTGGCGCTTCTTTATCACCGCCTCCGATGAACTGTCACAACAGCCAATTACCTAGGGTTTGGGGTTTAGCTTGATTGGCGTATGAATTGTGCATCGTTGGCTAAAATGGTTTGTATTGGCGTGGTTTCGGTTCATTTAGGTGTATTTTGGTCGTGAGAGAGAAATTATAGAGGGTTTAGGGTTTCGGGTTTTTGGGGTGTATATGCAGGTCGTCTGATATTGGTGGATATCCCCAGCCGTCGTGAATTAGCGAGCAAGAATGTGTATAACGTGAAGGGAGCAGCAATGCATTGGCAGAGTAATGGTGATTTCCTTTGTTTAAAAACAATGGTATTTAAAAAAACAGGAAAAAAAGGAAGAAAAGAATTTAGTCAACTAGAAATATTCAGAATGAGAGAAAAAGATATTCCTGTTGATAATATTCAACTCACCGATCTCGCCGTACAACTCCATTGGGAGGAAGGACCCAGTAAATATACACTAAACCCTAAACCCTTTTCTACGCGGGCTTACAGCTTGTTAGATAACCCCACCTCAGCTGTCTAAACCCCAAACCCTATGAGTTTCCCCCTTGCATGCTCATTAGGAGTTGGAGAAAAAATGACGAATTCTTGCTCTTAAGGGTTTCGGATCTAGGGTTTAGTGTTTTTGTGCAGGCAAGCGCTTCGTGTTGGTCGTCCAAGAGGAGGGAACCAACAACCAGAGCCTGCGGTTCTTCCGCGTCAACGACGCCGCCGAAGGCAGTAAGGCTATAGGGTTTCGGGTTTAGGGTTTATATATATACTGTATGTGGGGAGTGGCATGAGGATATTTTAGGGTTTAGAGGGTTTAAAAAGTGGGTTCGTTTTGAAGGTTTTTTAGGGCTTAGAATGTTTCCGAGGGTTTACAAGGGTCTACGAGGGTTTATGTTGTGTATATGCAGATGTAGAGACGAACAAAAGAGACACAGTAATGACACATTCCTTCGATATACCTAATTATATGAACTTCCTTAAGTGGTCTCCCTTCGGTTCTTACTTTGTCTTGGCCTCCTTGAGTGCCTATGGTACCGTCATGTTCTGCCATCTTAATGACCAAGACAAAGTAGAGGTCGGTATACTCCTCCTGCTGCTGTTGCTGCTGCTGCCGTTGGTGGTGTTCGCTACTTTTGTTTCTTTTGCTTCTGCTGTTACTGTTGCTGCTGGCGGTTGTTTCTGTGGCTGGTCGTGATTTGTTTGCTGCTGCACCAATAACTGCAGCGTCTGTCTGATTCGCCTATCTTTATAACGCCCGTCGCTGCTGCTGCTGCTGCTGTTCAGGTGTTGCATCAAGACGAGCATTACATGTGCAATGAAGTACGGTGGTCACACTGCGGTCGTTACCTCGCGACTTGTGTTGTTATTCCTCCTGTTGGTAGCTCTCAAGCCTTTAGGCTTGAAGGAAGCACAGGGTTCAATATTTGGACCTTCCAGGTTCGTCGTAATTAGGGTTGAGGGTTTAAGGTTTGGGAGGAGGGGCGTGGTTGGAGTCAGGGGAGGGTCGAGGGTCTGAGGGTCTAGAAGGGTTTACATAGAAATAGAGGGAGAGACTGTTTAGGGTTTGAGAAAGTTGATAGGATTTAGGGTTTACTTAAGGATTAATGGTGCCATCCTGAGGGATTTGGGTTTTAGTGTCGGAATCGACAATCTAGGGTTTAGGGTCAAGGGTTTATGGTTTGTTTTGTTGGTGCAGGGCAAGTTGCTAGAGAAGAATAAGAAGGAATTCTTCTATCAGTTCTTATGGAGGCCTCATCCCCCAACTTTGTTGTCAGAAAAACAACTTGATGATATCAAGAAGAGAATGAAGGAACACAGGTTAGGGTTTAGGGTTGAGGGTTTGGGTGGGGGTCAAGCAGTGTTCATCGGCTAGATTTGAGGTATAGCGATTTGAATTACTGTTTCGTTTTTCTGTGTTGCGCTGGCGTCAGCAGTGTATCCATCATGGGCGCTTCCTTTGGTTAAGGGTTTAGGGTTTAGGGTTTGCTTTGTTGATGCAGCAAGAGATACGAGGCCGAGGACGAGAGGCTGCGCAGTGAGAAACGGCGAGCCTTCTTGAAACAATGCGAAGAAGAATGCGAACGCTTCCAGAAGATACTGGACGGACTGGAAGCCTGGAAGGTCAAGCATGTGAGTGTTTAGGGCTTAGGGCTTAAGGCTTGGAGAGGTTGTGTTTCCCAGGTGGAGCGAGGGTTAGGGACGACGTTACCGTGAGAATACGAAGGTGGTGGACGTGTCCGTTACATACGCATTTCTCGGGTATCAGATTTAGGGTTTAGTGTTTTAGCGTTTAGGGTTTTTTGTGTTTTTGGTGTTTGCTACAGCCCAAGTACGAGGAGTGGTGCCGTGCTCAAGAGGAATTCGATACGTGGTTCGAGTGGGAGATGAAGGAGGAAATTATAGAGGAGGAAATCGATGTAAAGCAGGAGATTATTTGCTGAGATATAATTACACCCCCAATTTAGGATTTAGGGTTTAGGGTTTAGGGTTTAGGTTTTAGCGCTTCCCATGCACACACGGGCTGCGATCTGGAGACGTCGAGGTCTCGAGGGTTTATAAACGCAGCTCTGCACCCTGTATTTCAGGGTTTAGGGTTTAGGGTATAGCGGGACCGGGATGTCTTTATGCACAATATTTATCAAGCAGCCAAGAAACATATATATGCTTTAAACCCTCGTGTCTTCTAACCCTAGACCTTCGCCTGCTGCCGACTTAACAAGCCAATGGAAGATTCATTTAAAGACAAGGCAGCGACATTTGGCTCGAACCCCAATTTTCTGTTTAGAATATTTCAAATCCGTGTAACCACTTTCTAGAAATTATTGTTTAGAGTAGTACGGGTTGAGGGAAGAAGGTTTCAGATGACTGTTACCAGGGATAGGCGTTTAGGGTTTGGGGCTAAGGGTACACCTTCAAAGGAAATTGCCACAGCAATCACTAGTTTTTTGGTTTAGGGTTTAGGGTTTAGTGATGGTGAGTAGTGAGCACGATAGGGTGATGGGGGTATCAGAAGTGATCACAGCTGTCTTGGTGTTGTAAACCCTAAACCCTCTCAACCCCTGAACCTCCAAAGTCGCTGAATACCTTTAACTCCTTATCCCACCAATCCTTTAACCCTAATCCCCTTTAACGGCTCGACCCCTAGACCACCGTAACGAATGAAAAAACAAACCTTCTTGTCCCCTGAAGTGCCAAACCGCCCTGATCCCTGAAACCTAAGAATCTCACTCTTCTTACTACCGCAAACCCTAGACCCTCTTAGACCCTAAACCCTACGCCGCCATGGCGGCGTAGGGTTTAGGGCGCAACCCAGTTGCACGGGTAATCGTGCAACAGAGCAGGAGAAGCGCCATACCCCTGTCTCGGGCTTACAGGTTGCATGATATCGCAAATTAAAATAAAAATAAATTAAAACTATTAATTTTGGATTCATAATTTAATTATTTACTCTTCATCTTGCTCGGATGGGCAGAACAGACCCCGCAGCCGACGACGCAGCAGCCGTCAAGGGCTCGTGGCGAGGGTTTAGAGTTCAGGGTTCAGGGCTTGTGCTGGTATTAAATTGAAATATGCACTTTTATTTTGTCTTTTTGTCGCGTCTAGGGTTTAGGGTGTGCGTTGTCGTCTCCTCAACAGCGACAACTGAGACCTCCCTGCTCCGAGCACCAAACCCTAAACCCTAAATACCAAACCCTAATTTCTTGTTCGAAACCCTCCACCATTAGCCTTCCATTCCCACTAACCATACAAGCTTGATTTTTGCTTTTTAAAAACTCTACCACAAACCCTAAACCCTGAGCCTCAAGGGAAACAAACTGCAGGTGGTACACTTCGATGCTAAGCACTCACAAGACAAGCAGCAGCAGCACAAACCCTAAACACTAATGTCTCATCATAAGAACAAAACCGCCGGAGTCCGGCATTTAGTTCTTCTGTTTCTGCTGCTGTTCCTCCTCCTCCCCGTTTCGTTGCTTGCGGTAAGTTGCTGCTACTGCAGTTGCTGCTGTTGCTCATGGTTGTGCAGCTGCTGTAAACAAGGGGTGCCACAGGACTTAGCTTCTAGGGTTTGAGGTTTAACGCTTAAGATTTAGGATTAATTGCTTAGGGTTTGTGTTTGTTTCTGTTTGTTGTCCTGCAGACACGATCATGCGAAGGTGAGTGGTCAGACGCATGTCCTCAACCCTATACCCTAAACGCCAAACCATAAACCCTAAACCCTACTAGGTATCTCGGAGGAGCCAGCATACAACAGTTGAATGTATGTGACATCCACTGTCCCGAATTCTATGGCCGCTCTGGAATCAACCCCAACCCCCAAACCCTAGACCCTAAACCCCAAACCCTAAACCCTAAACGCCAAACCCTAAAACCTAAACACTAAACCCTGTGTGTTTTGTGTTTAGTTGGTTATGTTCCCGAGTTTTCTTTGGCTCGTCATTTTGGGCATAGCAGCATTCGCGCGAAATCTTTTTGGCGGCTTCTGCGGGGTTTACGGAGGAGAGCGCGAGGGTTTGAGCAAGGGTTTAGAGGAAGGGTTTTGCTACTCTTCCCTGAAGCCCTTAAAACCCTAGAACGTATACAAGCTGATGCTACTGCTGCTCTCTCTTTTGCTGCTCTTGCTGCAGATAAAAACTTGCAAGATCGTAACTTACAAAGAGATAGAGCACGAGTAGAACACTTCATACTCACACAGTACTAAACCCTAAACCCTAAACCCTAAACCCTAATATAGGAAATGTAAGCCCTTAGCCACACCTCCTGCAGCAATACACAAATATAAACCCTAGGATACTCTCAGCGATACACCATAAACACTAAATAAACCCTAACTAAACCCCAACTAAACCCCTCAGGGCAGCCTTTGCATATTCAGAGAGGAGACACGGTAGGGTTTAGGGTTTGGCGAAGAAACGCACGACGAAGTGCCTATACACCTGGTGGTGTTGTGCTCAGAGTTACTCCTCATTTACTATTTTATGAGGGGGAGATAGCAGCAATTCCATTAGATTGGCTATCTGTACACCTCAGGGTGTCTCCTTATTTAAGAAGCAAAAGGGGCTATTTATCTTTGCTGCTGCGACAAAGGAGACACTTGCTGCCATGGAGAACTGAGACACTCCTAGCAGCAAGAAAACCCTTTGATACTGCTGCTGCTGCACTCCTGCTGCTGCGCAAAGAATTAGCTGCTACAAGAGTTCTGTCTCCTCTGGTGGATGTCTCTGCCTCTGCTGATGCTGCAGCAACAGCAGCAACAGCAGCAGCAGGAACAAATGCAGCATCCGGAACAACTGCAGCAGCAGGAACAAATGCAGCAGCAGGAACAAATGCAGCAGCAGGAACAAATGCAACAGCAGCAACAAATGTAGCAGCCGTAACAGCCACTGCAGCGGCAGGAACAGATGCAGCAGCCGGAACAGCAACTGCAGCAGCAGGAACAGATGCAGCACCCGGAACAGCAACTGCTGCAGAAGCAAATGCAGCAGAAACTGCAGCAACGACCGCAGGGGCGCAGACACCGCAAGACGGAGGGAAGAGGCAAAGTCAACAAGAGACACAAAAGCAAATACAACAAGACAGCAGCAGCAGCAGCAGCAGACAACAAAAAAATAAAACAATACAAAACCCTAAAACAGTTTCAATTGCTGTAGCGCAAAGAGCAGCTCAACACCATAGCCAAGCTGTCAGGAAAAGAGCCCTCGAAGCTGTAGACAAGTAATAAGCCCTAAACCCTAACACTCCTATACAGCCGGTACAAGCTTCATCAACTCCATTCAGATTTCCAGCTATCGTCTAAACCCTAAACCCTAAATGCATGGCACAATGTAGAAGCTGAAATCCCTACAGCTTACATACAAAATCTAAACCCGAGGGTTTGGGGTTTAGGGTTTAGGGTTTGTCCTGCAGGGCCATTCGCTCCCACCGCCTAGACGTTTTGGCGGCAATCTCTTTAAATGGAGTCGCGGGGGTTTGGGGCGTCGACAGCAAACAGCGGAACTACCCTGTACAGTTAAACCCTAAACCCTAAACCCTAAACCCTAAACACTAGAAACTCGAGCTTGTTGCTATCTGCTGGTGCTGCTGCTGCTCTTGCTGCTCTTGCTGCTGCTGCTGCTGCAGTCCTTACGATCTAAGAGGAACTTATCATTGGGTGTACCTGAAGGAATATCCTCAGCCTTAATTGCTGCTGTTAGAGAAGAAGGCCCTCCTTTAGCTCTTCGTTTTTATTTCCTTAAGAGACAAATACTAACACATATGCAGCGTCTGCAGGTAAATAATCACTATATTATATTTAATTATTAATAAATAAATAAACAGATCTAAATGTATATAAGTATGAATGTATATGTGTGTATATGTATATATACATATATATCATGTATACTCTTACTGTGTTGTAAATATTTACAGACATTTAACTTCTGGGATCGATTGGCGCCTCTATCTGCTGCAGCAGCAGCAGCAAGGTGTGCGTACACCTGGTCTGCTGCAGTGTCTCTTGTACGCGAGGGTTTTGCCGCTTATTTACCCTTTTGCGTGCAACCCTTTGATCTGCTGCTGCAGCAGCAAAAGATTGATGCAGCTGCTAAGATAGGCAAACGATGCAGCAGCTACACTAAACCCTCAACACCACAAACAGGCCCTTTTGTTCTTCTCTCCTTTAAGGGAACTACTCGTGATGTCAGGGCACTCGCCAGAGAAGCTAGTAACCAACTGCACAAACCCTAAACCCTAAACCCTAAAATATTCTATAAAGCCCTAAGCCCTAAAAGATCCAACCCCCCCG